CACTTAATCTGAAATAATCCAAAATGGGTTCTAAATGTGCTAAAAACAGCAACTGAACCTGAAAGACAAAATAATCGAGTAATATTAGACCGTATACGCAATGAATTGTAGTGCCAGCGGTCCTCATATTCATATCTTTATATTATTCTATCAACACAATCCAACATCTATTTCACCCCGACCTGCTCCCAGTCTGGCCTTGTAGCTCAGCTGGTAGAGCATCGGTAATACAAATACGAAGGTCGTGGGTTCGAATCCCAGCGAGGTCGAAAATTAATCTCATGTAAACAGGGCCTAAAACTCCAGAAAACTTAAACGTAAATTCCAATCCAAAMTTTCTAAGCAAAAATTCTCGTTTTTGATTTAGTTGTCCCAATTTTTTTGTCACCTTGAACAGGTTGACTTATTGAAGTTAGTGACCCTTTGTAAAATGATTGTCTAAACCGGTTAACGCCCAGTTTCCTCCCACGTCAAAAGCGCCGACTCAAGTCCCTATCAAAAATTCATAAGATGGATAATGTCATGATAAAATGCAAGGCTACTTCACAAAGAATTATTTCACAATTCCCTAAAGGTAAACTCAAAAAGGAAAGGTAGGTAACCTAATAGGCTTTAAAACTTCTCTCAAAGTCCGTCAATTTCATTCTCGTTCATCGTGACTGTTAAACAAACAGTTTGAATAATTAACGTTTTAATTAGTTCAGAAACGATAATTACTAATTACTTTGCTTTTATTCTTGTTCTCAAAAGTAACTATTTTGTATATAGTCGGTCTTTCTTTTATCTTTTGAATTTCATGATCCATAAGGTCTAGTTTCGTTTGTCTTCATTTCCCCGTGTTATTTTAATCTTGCTAATCCTTCACGCCAGTCACCAATAATAAAAACAGTCCTCGTATCAGAGAACTAGAAATTTGATTTTATTTACTTTCAGCGCTCTGTCTGCTACAAAGATCTAAAATGAACTCTAAGGTAAGGACATGGATTTGAAGATATTTCTGTTTATACTAGTTCACGAAAAAAAACATTATCATTCAATAATTTTCTGATTAACGAAAGATAAAAAAACCTCTGGAAATTTGAAAATATTGTCCGAAGAAGAAATCTGCCTAAACTAATTAATTATTATTTTATATATAATACTAAACTGATTTGCTACAAAATACAATTTGATAAAGGGCATAGCGTACATAACCTGTTGGATCAATCGTGTCAAGATTTACGGGATAGACGATGTGACTCTTAAACAATACCATTTCACGGTCAAGCAAGGAATCAAACACGTTGAAAATTGCCACCGAAGAGAACAGTCTAAAATAATTTAATCTGCTAAGTTAAACAAGAAAATCCATTGAAAATTCGAGGAGATTAAGCTTCACATATCAAGGACTTTTAATATTTTGGTTGAATAAGCCCGCACAAAAGAATTGTAGAAAACACCTTGTATACCTCTTTTTATACATCTCAGTGTTCAAAAAGGTTACAAAATAGAAGCCGAGACCAATAGGTTAAAAAGAGACGGCGTTCACGATAGAACTCTAGCAGAATTATTTCAGATTTACTTCTATAAACCCGTGAAACCAAATGAACATCAGTGTGATAGCAATGTTAATAGTGTAGTAGTTTATTGAACTCTTTTGCAATCAATTAAAAATATAATGAGTAACTATATAGACCCCTTGCATGTGACGTCAAAGCAGCTTCATCTGGAGTACAAAMCAAAAGATTTTTAACCTCTTGGGAACTAGAATCCATTGTTTTGTCCTCCAGTTGGAGCCGCATTCCCATGAACTGCAAGGGGTCTATAAGACCGAAAAATACAGTGGTTTTCATTAACCCGTKAAACAAAGTGTAATAGTCAAAGTGTAATAAAATGTAATAGCCAAGAAATATAATAGAAAACAAAAGAGACAAAGTGTAATAAAGTGTAATATGCTAAAGCGTATTTCACGGGTTAATGAAAACCACTCTCCCGTGAACAGTAACTAAAGTGTAGTATGTTGATTGAAATCGCCAAAACTCGAATTTTGTCTTTCAGTCTTTCAGATTCAGTTGGTGTTATTTGTGTGCTGTTTCCTCATAAGCCTGGCAACTATTTTGAGCCTCGAGTGTCGAGAGATATTCAAGTTTGGAGATTATACCTTCCCCAAGGATAACATGACTTGCAATAATACTGAGGAGCAGTGTGTTATCGCCTCATACGATATTCCACAGGTGCAGGGAATAATGTTCTCGAGATGCCGATTGTGCGAACCAGAAGAAATTTGTAACATCTTGGAGTCAGGACCACAAGAGGGTGTAACTAACTGCCAAGTGACATGTTGCAATACTGATTATTGCAATGATATAGGAGGTAAATAGCCGAATAATTTGTTTAAACAGGGTTCGTGCAAAATTTCCCCTACAAAATTCCATGACTTTTCAAGTACTTTTTAAGCACAAAAATGCGATTTTCTAGGGCTATTTTTGAAGATATTTTTTAACGTTTGCGAATGTTTCCAGTGKCGATTTTCAAGAATAGGCACATTTCAATCCAAACGGCAAAAGGCAATGTTTCAGTATTTTCATCAGATTCAAGGTGTTTTCCAGGAGTTTTAGCGACGTTCCCCAGGAGCATTTTAAGCGCCCTTAAAAACGAGTTTTCAATTCCAGGACTTTTCAAGGATTTCAAGGAGTAGCGCAAGCACTGTGTTTACATTTCAGTTCATATAAGCATATAACGTTTTAACCTAACTATCAATATATCAGCACTGAATATTCCTTGTAGTTTATAGTTCTAAATAAGCTCTAAAAAKTATGAATTATCACTTTAGGTTTCTTGTGTTTCTTGCGATCGCATCGAGCTGCRTCTTTMRCACCTATATGATGGCTTTAATGTTTTATGACGCCTTAATGTTACAATGTTACATTTTTCATTAAATTTTCAGCGCAGAATAATGGAAATAGTGGAGCTTCCAAGGACGAAGGGAAAAAACTAATAAAGAACAAGAAAATTGCAGAAAAACGAAGGAAACACCACAAAGACTGATATAACAAACACCAGCCGACCAGGAAAAG